ATTCCTATTCCTGAAAACATTCGCCAACACCTCACTCTGTTCCACATACACATCCATCAGCTATGAACAGCCACCTGCTATGTGCACCCTCAGCTGTGCTGGGGATGCTGAGCAGGCAGGGTCCCCGCAGCTCTGGGACCTCCTGGCGCAGAACCAGGAAGAATGGTAAGGTCAAGAGAGGGACTCGGTTCTGATGGTCAGGGGCCTGGGAGGTGGCATGGAGGAAGCAGATGGCACACACGGACAGGGATAAATAATATATATTACTGTAATGTACATTACATTTCTATATACTGCAGTTATTACATATAAATGACACGTAAACAAATTATAAATTGTATTATTTATACATTTATGTATATTCTTATTTCTCCTAGTTGTTTAAACTGCATTTGCAGTTATGCATCCGAGTCCTCTTCCAAAGAGCGCTGAGCCACTGCGTGGTGGTGCCGGTAACTTGGAACAGAGTGTCCCCAGCCCTTCCTCTCACCCCTGTAGCATTGCTGTCACTCATTTCACTTATCGATGGGCTGTAACTACTAAATCTAAATGTTTCGTTGCTATTATTATTTTGACCAAACTGTTATCTGTTCAATTAATGCGAGAAAGAAAATATTTTACTTTTGTTTATATCTTCTCTAGTGCTCTTCACGTAGAAACAAGTTCCGACTTACGTTGCTTCTTTCTGAAGAACATTTCTTGCAAAGCAGGAGATGTTACAAACTTGAGATGACAACTTGTGACAAAGTCCCTCAATTCTTATTTAAGAACACATTATTCATCTCTCACTTTTGAGAGGAAATTTAGGCGGATAACCAGTACTGTACATTGGTGGGTTTTTTCCTGCAGTGCTATAAATACTCACCTCCACTCTGATTGCTCGCATGGTTTCTGAGACGTCCAGTATAATTTTATCTTTGATCCTTCATAGGTGAAGTTTTCTTTTCTCTCTTTCTTTCAACATTTTAATTTTCTGCAGTTTGACTAGGGTATGCCTAGGAGTAGGATTCTTTGGAGTTTATCCTGCTTGGTGTTCCCTGGGCTTCCTGGATATTATGATTTGTTGTCTTTCATTAATTTTGTGAAATTACCAGTTATTGCTTTAAATATTTTCTTTTCCTTGCTCTCTTCTGATATTTTCATTATGCATATTTTTCATCTTTTGTTAGTCCCAGAGGTCTTGGATAGTCTGTTCTCTTGCATTCATTTTTCTCTTTGCATTTCCATTTTGGAAGTTTCTATTTACGTATCTTCAAGCTCTCTGATTCTGTCCTTGGCCATGTCCAGTCTACTGATGAACCCATCAAGAACATTCTCTCTTTTTTATGCCCTGACTGGTATGGCTCAGTGGATTGAGTACCCACCCACCTACGAGCCAAAAAGTCACTGGTTTGATTCCCAGTCAGGGCACATGCCTGGGTTGTGGGCCAGGTCCCCAGTAGGGGGTGTACGAGAGGCGACCAATCTCACATGTCCTTTTCATTCTGAGAGTTTCCATGTCTCTGCTAACATACCCATCTGTTAATTCATGTTGTCTACTTTTTCCTTTACAGTCATTAGCATATTAATCAGTTTTAAATTTCATCTCTGCCACATGAGCCTTGCTCTGATGCCTGCTCTGTCTAGTCAAACTGTGTGTTTCTTACCTTTTAGTATGTTCTGTAAATTTTGGCTGAAAGTTGGACATCATGACCTGGCTGGTGTGGGTCAGTGGGTTGAGCACTGGCCTGTGAACCAAAAGGTTGCTGGTTCAATACCCAGTCAGGGCACATGCCTCGGTTGCTGGCCAGGTTGGGGGCGTGTGAGAGGCAACTGATTGATGTTTCTCTGGCACATGATGTTTCTCTCCGTCTCTTGCTCCCTTCCCCTCTCTCTAAAAATAAAATCTTAAAAAAAAAAAGTGGGACATGATGTACTGGATACAAGGAACTGAGGTAAATAGGCTTTCAGTGTGAAGTTCTTTGTTTATCTGAGTAGGGCTTAGTTCATGTTCACTGTTTGCTAAAATCACTGGTGTCAGAGGCACAATGTTCTCATGCCTTTGTTTTTGTCTTCTCTATTTGGGTTTTACTATAGGCTTATTTTTAAATTAAGGCTGAGCGGAGCAGTTCTTTCACTGTTTCCCTGTTTGTGCTTTTTAAAGATTTTTATTTATTTTTTGGGGGGGAAGAAGAGAAGGGAAGGAGCAAGAGAGGGAAACATCATTGTGTGGTTGCCTCTCACACATCCCCCACTGGGGACCTGGCCTGCAACCCAGGCATGTGCCCTGATTGGGACTCGAACCAACCATCCTTTGGTTTGCAGCCCACACTCAATCCACTGAGCTACACCAGCCAGGCCAGTTTCCCTGTTTTTATACAGAACCCCTGTTGATGTGGTGGAGAGAGGGGGAAGGTGATGTGGGCTAGATTTAGGTATTTCCCTTCCCCCAGGTGAGTTGGTCTCTGCTAAATTCCCAGTCAGTTTAGCTCTTAGGGTGTTTTTTATTTTTGGCGGGGGGTGGGGGGCAGAGGCCTAGTAAAGAACAAAATGTTGTGAGCGTATTTCAAAATGGCTACTTTCCTCTCCTTGTGCTGGGACCACAAGGAGATTTTTCTTCATTCTTCCCTGTAGAACATGGTAGAGCTCCTGGAGGCTAAACTCACCAGTGTGAGGGCCTGGTAAGACTGGGCCCTCCCCTTGGATTTTTTAACTCCCAAAGCGAGCTCCAGTGAGCCGTGCCAGCAATTCATCGACGACAGTACAGACTTTCCCACGGGTTCCCGGGAGGTCTGGCTCCAGTGAGCTCTGGCTCTCTGTGTCCAGCCGTCTCTCCAGTTGTGGGCCAGTCGTTTGCCCTGTGACCTCAGTCCTCTGATGGATCTAAAAGTTACTGGTTTTTGGTTTGTTCGGCTTTTTTCTTTTTGTGTTGATGGGAGTGACAACTTCAAAGTTCCCTATATGCCAGACCAAGAAACCAGAAGTCCAGATATGTTTTTAGTTCTAGGATATCCTTTTAAAAACAAACCCTGAACGTTGAGGCCCGGTTGGTTGGTCATTGTCCTGCAAAGCAAAAGGTCACAGGTTCGTTCGATTCCTGGTTAGGGCACGTGCCTGGGTTGCAGGTTCAGTCCCTGAGAATCAACTGATTGATGTTTCTCTCCCTCTCTTTCTCCCTTCCCCTCTCTCTAAAAATAATAAATACTTTAAAAATGTACATGCATGCATATACTCTTCCTATTATTTTGAAAAATTCCTGATGGTTTCAATCACTATAGCCATTTTTTTCCTATAGCTTTTTTAGGAATTTTAAAAAGATTTTATTTATTTTAGAGGGGAAGAGAGGGAGAGAAACATCAATGTGTGGTTGCCTCTCAAGCACCCCCACTGGGGACCGGGCCTGCAACCCAGGCATGTGCCCTGACTGGGAATTAAACCAACTATCCTTTGATTCACAGGCCTGCACTCAATCCATTGAGCCACACCAGCCAGGGCAGCTTTTTAAATACATTTATTATAAAGCACTTTTCTGTTAATTCTATTACCTAGAATTGTTTGTGGATCTGTTTCTGTTGACTGAATCTGATTTTTTTTCCTCTTGACTCAATTACATTTACCTGTTTCTCTGCACGTCTGGTATTTTTCTTGTATTTCAGACATCGCGGATAATGTGCCATAGAAACCCTGGGTTCTGGTATAATTCTCTGAAAAGTGTTTTGTTGTTGTTGTTTTCCTCTCGGTAGAGTTGAATTACTGGAAGATCACCATGACCGTGTGGAGGCTTGGCTTTAAATTTTATCTGGGCAGCCCTGGCTGGTATAGTTCAGTGGACTGAGTGTGGGCTGCGAACCAAAGGGTCTTTGGTTCTATTCCCAGTCGGCACATGCCTGGGTTGCAGGCCAAGTCTCTCATTTAGGGATGTGCAAGAGGCAACCACACATTGATGTTTCTCTCCTCTTTCTCCCTCCCTTCTCCTCTCTCTAAAAATAAATAAAACCTTTTAAAAAATAAACTTTATCTGGGCAGATATACTTTGATTTTTCCCACAGTCTTGGTGCAAATCCCTTATTTCTAGAACATAGTCTTTATTCCCAAGGTAAGGCCCTTTTAGGGTTAAATGGAAAATTAGGTGTTTACCAAGCCTTCCCTGGAGTTGCCAGAAAATGAATCTTCTCACTTCTATGCCCTTTCAGCTCTGTCTTTTCCTGGGATCCTGGGATTTTACCCACACACGTGCAGTTCATGCCAGCCATCTATTGGAAGAGAACTGCAGCTTCCCGCCTCTCACCCACTGAGGATCCAGACTACCCAGCATCCCCCCCTCAATTATCAGCTGTAGCAAACTCATCGTCTTCCTCCTGGAGCCAATAAGACTATAACAGCTTCTTGAGGTCTGGCTGAGTAGAGAGAGCCCTCAGAGGATTTTAAAGATTTTAGAGATAGGGGAAGAGAGGGAGACATCGATGTGAAACAAATACATCGATCAGTTGCCTCTTGCAACCCCCCACCCCAACTGGGGAATCAGCCCGCAACCCAGGCATTTGCCCTGACTGGGATTCGAACCCATGACTTTTAGGTTCTCAGGCTGGCATTCAATCCACTAAACCACACCAGCCAGGACCCTCAGGGAATTTTAAGAACTGCCTCTCCTCAGTTTCCACCTGCTTTTTGTCCTCCAGTGCCTCAGACCTAGATGTTTCATATATGTTGTCCACATTTCATAATGCATGGGGGTTCTGCAGTTACTGGAAGTGGAAACACTACCTTTTGACTTTTGAACCTATAATCGAATAATTTGTTCCAAAAGCAAACCATTAAAACACGACAAGCGGACAAAATTAAATATTAAGGCTTACTGTAAAGGAGCCGATTCTTTGACGGTTAATTAAGCCAGAGGATTCCTTTTAAGTGACATCGCACTCACCTGGGCTCCACCCGCACGCCACGCCCCCGCCGTCCAGACCCCGCCCCATTCACGCCGCACCGCCCTGGTCGCGCCCGTTTCCATGGCGACGCGGCACTAGGCCGGGCCTGCCCGGCCACCCAGTGGACACGCAGCGGCAGCAGCTACGGAGATATGAGTTTGGCAGGGGTGGTGGCCGGGCAGCGGCCCCCCAGCTCGGGGATCCCGAGCTCCTGGGGGACGTCGCGTCCGCGCCAACGCCAGCCCCCAGGCCTCCAGCACCCGGGGCAACACAACGCGCAAGTCGGGCTCAACGAGGCGCAGAAGCGGGTACTGGACCTGGAGAAAAGCCTGCAGTTCCTGCAGCAGCAGCACTCAGAGACTCTGGTCAAACTTCACGAGGAGATTGAGCACCTGAAGCGAGAGAACAAGGGTGAGTCCGGGGGGCAGGGCCAGGGCGGGGCAGGGGCGGTGCGCCCCCGCTCGGTAGGGCCCCGAGATACCCAAAGACCTGCCTCCCTGCTTTCAGCACCGAAACAGTACATGGACTCTACACAGTTCTCGGAGTACGCAGGACAGCAAGCCCCACCCCCGAGTCATACCACATGAGTTCCGACTCCCTGCCCCAGGCCAAAAAACCTGGCCTCGGTCATGTGGGAGGTGCCCTCCTGGTCATCTGCCCATCTGGCGGGGGCGGGTCTGGCAGCGTCATTTCCCTGGGCGACCCAGCCAGCCTTCTCTGTAGGCAGGGCCTCCACCTCGTTTTAAGAACTTTTTAGAGGAGTAAAACATTCCCCTGAAAGTACCAGGATACAGCTGAGTGAATTTTCCCACTCTAAGCCACCCAGATCAAGGGCAGGCATGCTGGCCCCAGAAGGGTCCTGGGGCCCTATCCAGGTCCTCCCCAGACAGCTTGGGCCCTGTGCCCTGTGTAGGACAGACCTCCCTTCCTACCTACACCCCTTGAGGCTCCTACGCTGCCTGAGCCAGGCCTGAAGCAGAACTTGAGGCCTCCACCACTGGACCTTGTGCCTCTCTCCGGCCTTCCTCACACTCTAGCTCTCTGCCCACACATCTAGGCCTGCCTAGGTTTCTCACTCCCCTCCTTTCTCCTGCTGCCCCTACCCAGAGTGCCAGGCACGCCAACACAGGGTCTCCATCCTGTCAGGACCCTCCCTCCCCTTGTCTTCATGAGTCTCACCCCGGTCCCTTCCTGACACAGGCCAGATGGGGATGGCCGGTGGGTTGGACATCACTTGGCTGGTGCACTGACTACACTGGCTCATCCATGGCCAGGGGCTCCTGGAAAGCTGGGTAGTCGTGACTTCCTGCACCACTGGGACCAAGCCCCCACCTGGCAGATGGTTGCCCTGTAGGCGTCGTGGATGAATGGTGCGATTTCAGGCGAGGCTCTCATGCAGGGGCTTTGGCTCAGGGAATAGCCAGAGGCATTCCGGCCCTAGGGTGCCCAAAGCAAAGGCTTGGCCCATGGTGCCTTGTCCCTGAGGCCTCTTAGGGACTCAACTGGGAGGGAGTGGTTAGGGCAGGCCAAGTGCTTCTCAAAATGGCTGTGACCTGGAAAACGATGAGAACCTGTGCTTGCTTTCAGAGCTCCATTACAAGCTGATAATGAATCAGAAGCAGCAGAAGAAAGGTAAGACTGAAGCCCTCGGTGCCTGATGGGAAGTCACCACTACCAAGAGCAGCCCCTCCAGACTGCCTGTGCCCACCCAGCGGCCCTGGCCCAGGCGCTGTCCTCGCGGTGAGGGGCCCTGGAGGATCTGGACAGATAGGCACCACTGCCCCCAGCCACAGCCTGGGTGACGAGCACAAAGGCGCCACTCTCAGGGAGCCCAAGGTCAGAAGTCTGAACAGTAGGGTCAGTGAGCAGAACAGCTGCAGGTGGGGGGTTGCCTGCACCCTCCCCCTGCCCTCCCCAACCTCATTGCCTCTTAGCTTGCTGCGCTGGCCTGCTCCAGGTCCCTCTGAAATGCTGGGGAGCCCAGCACAACCCTGTGGCTCTGGTCCCTCACTCACTGGGACAGATGGGGGGCGGAGGAATCCTGCCTGCCATCTCAAAAGCAACTATGGGCGCTGGGAGAAGGAGCAGCCACTTGTCTAAGGCCCTTCCCCCAGCCTAGCCCAGGCTCTCTTAGGCTGGTTCTCCCCACTAACCTTTGCAGCCAGGCCTGAGCCTGGGAGGTAATCCGAGTGGTGATGGTGCCAGCCTGGAATGCCCCAGTGTGAGGGGCACCCAGGGATCTCTCTTCCTGAGGGACACACAGAGAATGGAGTGGTGGGAGCCCTTCCCCAGTGGGGCAGAGCAGCTCCAGTGAGCTGCCCTAGGCACACAGTGATGCCCAGTCAGCAGACAGGGGGTCTCTGGTGGGACATCAGGAGAGGTTGTACTCCTTTGAGACCTGCAACTTCTAGGATCCCAAGCCTCCTGCTGTGTGGAGGGCCTTTCAGGAAGCCACTTTTCCCACGGTCTTGCTCCCTAGGCACTGGCTGTGTCTGGAGCTGCCTCACCAGAGCGTTGGGGAGGGCTCTGCATGAATGCCTGGGCCCAGGAGCTGCAAGGCCAGCAGACAGGCATGATGCGCCCGGCCCCTTGCTGTGCAGAAGCTGCTGGGGAAGCCAGGACCCAAGCGTCACTGTTGCCATCTTGGGTTGACCCCTGCACATTTGCCCACAGGTAGCATCTCCAATTCCAGCTTTCAGTCCAGCAAGCCCACCTCAAATTCAGCGGTGTCAGGTGAGCATGCTCAGTGTGCTCAAGGTGGGGGCAAGTGCCCCGCTGTTGGGCAGCCCTGGGGTGGGAGTGCCTTTGCTAGGCCCCTCGGACTTGAGGGTTAAGGGGCAACTGAAGGGAGCCAAACAGGGTGTGGTGAGCTGAAACCACCAGCAGGGGGCTGAGGTGGGGTGGGACAAGACTGGGGGGCCCGCCAAAGGGAGGCTGCAAAGACTCCGTGGGCCTGGCTGCAAAAATATGTCATTTCAATGAGGGGAACAAGGTCCCAAGGCAGGCCCACCCCGGAGTGGGATGGTGGGCAGGCAGATTCACTGACAGACTCTTTGTGTGGTCTTCTGGGGAGGGGTTGTGAGCTGGCTGCCCCCAGAAGCCCTGCGTGTAGTGTGCCCACGAAGCAGGCAGGACGCAGGGGCACTGGCCCTGCCCAGAGTCCTGGGCTGTGGTGTCCTCTGCAGCCTGAGGGCAGTTCAGAGCCTCTGCTCCCCACTGTCTGCCCCGGGAGGCCAGGCATCCCGAGGAGCAGCAGCCCGGTGCTCTCAGTAGGACCCAGGCAGCCCGTGGACCTTGTCCTTGGAAAGCAAACCTGTGCGGGCTGGGTCAAGGTCCCATTCGGTTTCATTTTGCCCCAAGCGGGGTGCTGCTTCAGAGTCAGGACAGCCTGTGGGGCCCACCCTGCCCCCAGCATTTTCCAAACCCTGGGAGGAGACTGGCCTCGTTTTCTGTGTCAGAGCGTTCAGCAGGCACCGCCCACAGGCTTCATCTTCAGACCCTCATTCTTTCCCAGCAGGAAGCTCTGTTATCATCTCTTTACCAGGAGGAAACTGAGGCAGGGGGCAGGGGCTCCTTGGGCACACACCCCTGATCCTGGAGGACTTGGGCACCAGCGCTTGAGGCCCGCAGTGACTGGCCTTGTCTGGGTCTGACCTATAGCCAACCCTCAAGGCAAGGCCAGGCCGCAGCCCAGCTCAAAGAAGCAAGAGTTGAAAGCTGAGATTCCCCAGAAGACGGACCTGGAGGAGAAGAACTCCGTTGCTGCCCTGCTTCACAGCAGCAAGGTGGACAAAGTCGCCGGGACACAGGGGCTGGCCAAGTAAGGCACTTAGTAGGTTCGCAACCGTGAACCCACCCACGGCTTTGCCTTCTGACTGGGCTGGCCTCCAGCATGAACCAGGTTGGGGGGCCTGCCGGATGCCTGTGTTGACCTCAGCCCACAAGAGGGGCCAGCAGCAGCCCCTAAACCACTGTCTCAAAGAGTTTAACCTCCAAATGAGTGCTTTGCGTCAGGAATAGTGAGTCAGGCTCCCAGGCCCCACCCTGGGAAACTCACTTGGCCCCTGGAAGGCAGGACACCCCAGTTTTTGAAAGTTCCCTGGAAAGCAGCAGTGAGTCTGGACTTTGCACCAGAAAAGGAGACCCCGTTGTCCCCCAGGTAGCAGAGCCAACGGGACAGGCTCCTGCTTCTCTGCACAGTCCTTAGAGTCCCCCGTGACCAGTTCTACTGGGTTTGGGGTCAGGACAGCTTGAACCACATCTGACCCTTAGTACACCTCGAGAGGGGAGGAAGAGACGGGCCTGAGACCCCCACCTGAGGCCTGGAGCACCCTGGCCAGCAGAAGGCACCCGGGCCCCTGAGGAGGCTGTGTTGACGCCCCTCTTCCCTGCGCTGGCCTCACGTTGGTGAGGGCGCTGCCCTGAGAGTTGGTGGGCGGTGAGGCCAAGCCCGGCAGGCTGCCTCTGGGCTGCTGTATGACCATTTCAGAGATGAAGAAGTGAAGACCTTCAATCCAGAGGCCACCGTTGCGGCGGGCAGTCAGCACAAGGGCAAGCAGGTGATGGGGGCACACCCCGTGATGAGCCTGCCCCCGCATTTGCGCAAACCCACCTCGATTCAGCAGTGTGAGGTCATCATCCGCCAGCTGTGGAATGCCAACCTCCTGCAGGCCCAAGAGGTAAGGCTTGGGTGGTGGGGGGCGGCCCTGGAGTCTCCACGGCCTCGGCCACCATGCCTCTTCCCCTGCCTTTCAGCTGCAGCATCTCAAGTCTCTCCTGGAAGGGACCCAGAGGTCGTCCCAGGTGACACCTGAGGAGCCTGGCCCAAAATCCACGTAAGTGCCCGGTGTGGCTCTTCCCCAGCACAGTGGGGCCCCGACTGCTTGGGGCTCACTGCTGCTCTCCCTTCATCAGGGACCAGGAAGCCTCGCAGCTCCCCAAGGTCCCCACCAAGGGTGTCTCTAAGAAATGGTGAGTCCCAGGGGCACGGGGTGGGTGGGGGACCTGCAAGGAGAGGAGGGCCGGCCCAGCACAGAGCACGCCCTGGCAGCCACTTGCAGGCAGGTCTCTGCTGCCCTCCGCCCCCACCAGCCTGATCCTGAGCCCGATGCCTGGGACGGAGCGTGCCATACTGCCCGCACTGAAGCAGACCCTGAAGAATAACTTTGCCGAACGGCAGAAAAGGCTGCAGGTGGTGCAGAGCCGACGGCTGCACCGCTCCATGCTCTGACTGCCCCCGTGCGGGACCACAGCTGGAGACACCGGCCCTCTCCAGGTAGCGTTCCCAAAGCATTCTAGTGCCACATAAACCAAACTGACTGCAGACAAGGTCCTTGGTCTCAAGACTGAGAAACTTTATTTTCTTGCTCGGTATTTTGCTATTCTGCATTTACACAAAGACGTGTTAAAAGTATTACCCCACCTGTAGAAGACGAAATAAAGCTTGTTTCTCCCAGTCCTGAGTCTGGTCCCTCGCTGGCTGTCAGGCACTGCTGCTCTGGGAGGGCCCCAGCTCTGTGCCCTATAATGAGGGGGGCCGTCTGGCGGCTGCCCTGGAGACGAGCTCAGGCGGAGCACGCATCCGGGTGGGAGCGCAGGGCCATTTCCCGGCCTGCAGCCAGAGGAGAGGCGGCCTTCCAGGCACACGTGCACTGACTCCTGCCTGACCAGACACTCCTTGGGCAAGACGGCGTCCTCCAGCCTCAGAGACAGCTTGAGTCCCTCGACTGACAAACAGCTGAGAAGCCGCTCCTCCAAGCCCACTGTCCTCTGTCGGGGCTGGGGACCTACCCTGTGACGTCCCTACACCGTGAGGGCCAGACGTCAACCCCTCAAGTGCCAGCACAGCAGCTTCATCCTCTGTCTCCCAGGGGCGGCCAATTCCGTGCCGCACCTCCCTGGACAGGACAGTCGTCCTGGCCCCACCGGCCGACCCTCAGGGCTCATCTCTGCCTCGTCCGGCTTCAGGGAGCAGGGGCTTTGCCGAGGACCCGGAGGGGAACTGGGGCGAGGCATCGATAGTCAGAGGAGGGGGAACTGAGGTCTGGGTGTCCATGGCCATCTCCAAGGTGGGGAACTTGGCTCAGACCTGACAGAGTCCCTCACTGAAGACAATCATGGGGTGGGGGTGGGGGGCACAGCGACAAATTCATGACAGACACAGGAATAATACATTTATTATAAGAATCACACACGATAAGGTAGTGCACATAAAAAAGAGGGCCGGCTGATGTCCCATCAGCGAGTCCTCACTCTCTGGAGCGGCTCTGAGGACGCCAGGCCCAGAGAATGGCGCCCCGGCCCTAAGTGAGCCCGCTAGTGCACAGGTGCCAGAGACAGGATCCCCCAGACGCCTCTGCCCCCAGCACCCCACAGTGCTCAGCAGGCTCCCAGGGCTGGAAGGGAAGAGCCATGAGTGTGAGGTTCAGCTGGTAGTGGGGACTCGCCACCACCCACAGGCCAGACTTCCCTCTGAGTCGCAGCCAGCGCCCCTGGATGCAGGAGCCTCCTCGCGGCGTGCCGCGTGTGCCAACGGCGGCAAACTCTGGGCCCGGCACTGTGGTCAGGGAATCGTGTGTGTCTGACGGGTTTCCTACGTTCGCCCTGTCCCCTACAGAGACGGGCAGAGTGTTTCCTGGGCACACACACGGGGCTCTAACAAGGCCCTGCCTTCTCCCCCGCGATGCGGAGAAGGACACGGGCCCTGCAGAAGCCAGAGGGACAGCAGCCCGAGGAGCGCAGGCCCGGGGGGCGTCTGCCCCCCTGGAGAAACTCTCACCGCCACCACCGATGCAGCCAGCTCCGCAGCCACCTGTCCCAGTCCTGTACAAGTGTGGGAAAATGGCTGGTAGGTCCCCAAGGCAGGAGATAAAAGCAGGAAAGCTAACCTAAGTCCAGGCTCCCTAAAAGAGCCAACAGCTAGAAGTGTCTGACACGAGACGTGTGTCCTCTGTGGCCCCAACAAGGCTGCCAGCTGACCCCATGGTCCCGGTGGGCTGGCAGCCCGAGATGCAGCAGTGGTGACGGCTAGGCAGCTGAGAGGCAGGCCTGGTGGATGCTCTGCGCCCAGGTGTTGAGCAGGGCTGTGACCGAGTGCTTGTCGGGGAGCTGCAGCAGCCTCGAGGTCATGAATCGGTGCACCGACTGCAGGAAGGGGTTGGCGTCTGCAACAGAGCAGCGGGCGTGAGCACCATGCCCTTTGCCAGGACAGCGTGGCACCAGGCCTGACCCTGGCCCACACGAGCAGCTCCCGTGGGGGGCTGGGGAGAACCTGCTCTCGCAGGCACAGGGCTGGCATCTGGGGCACGTCACACAGCCACTGGGGATGCCATGTCCTGTGCACCGCTGGCTCTCCCTGGCCCACATGTCACTGGAGAACTGGAACATGAATGCCCTGGAGCCCAGGGTTTTCCCTCAGGGACAGCCTCGGGGTGCAGGTCCCGGTCCCCTGTGTGCCAGGTCTGAGCCTCAGGGGACTGTCACTATCACTGAAACTCTCTGGGCCTCTTGCCATAGCGCCATGTCACCCAGATGGGTCCCCATGAGCCCAAGCTCCTGCCTGCTCCCCCATGTCAGCCTGGCAGAGGCCCCAGGGGCCGCTGGAACAGCTGGACCGCTCACCCCTCACTTATTGGACATGGACACCCTGCAGTTGCAGGACAGGCAAAGGGACACAATGGGGGCAGAGACCCTTCTTTCTCCAGTAGTGACTGCTGGGCAACCTGCTCTTGTCCACAAAGGGGGAGCCAGAGGAGGGGAGGGAAGGGCCATGCTTGGGGGGGGTGCACATGGAGAAAAGCTGGGTTGCCCAGAGCTGACCCCCACCTGCCTTGGGTCCCTAGGAGCAGCCGAGAGGCCTCCCCGCAGCCACCCGGGCGCACTCACCGTACTGCCACTGCCGGTCAATCCACAGCGGGCTCTGGGCGGGGTAGTCGGCGGGCACACTGAGCTCCAGCGGCGGCACGTTTGGGAGGTCCTTGTCGTCTGCAACACAAGAGGCTGTGCCTGTGACCCTGCACAGCCTGCCTCCCAGCCCTGTTCTGGTGAGGCTGCAAAGCCCAGCAGCCACTGACTCTCAGGTTTCCACACCTGGACAGGAGGGGGCTGCCCTGGCAGCGGGGGAAGGTGAGAGTGCATGGGCGCATGGTCCGGCCCTCGGTAGGTGTCCTGGGGCCAGGTGTGTCAGGATCAAGGACAACGCAGGCAGACTCCTGAGAGGGACAGAAGGGCTGTGGGCCTGGGGCTGGGGTGTGATCCTGCGTGTCTGTGGGCAGCTGAGCACTGCGTGGAGCACAGTCCTGCCGGGGCCAGTTCTGAGGCAAGGCCTGGAAGTCCGTGTGCCCGGGGCACCACGGCCCGGACACAGGGCGGAACCCTGGGGCCGAGCTGCGGGGCTCCCTCCCTGTCGGCCCCGCCCTCCCCGGGTACTCACGCAGGTTGCAGATCAGGTGGACGGTGCCGTTGTTGCTGCAGTGAGAAGGGTCCAAGTTCACCAGGAACTTGGGGTCTAATCGGGCCACCTCCCCCTGGAGCACGTTGGGGATACTCTGCCGCTCGTCCTCTTCAAACTTACGTTTCCGGGCACACACCACTGGCAGCCTGGAGAGGCAACCATGGTGACCACACTGGGCCGAGCTGCGGCCTGCGGCTCGCCATCCGCCGCCCACCTCAAGGCTCAGCCCTGGGCTGTACACACGTGGGGGGTGGGCCGTGGATGGCCGTCATGGCTGGCATGAACGTGCGGTACAGAGAATGGTTGAAGACGGGCGAGCGGATGTTGGCCAGGACAGCGTCCAGGAGCGGCTGGCACAGGTACTGCTGTTTGGTTGGCGGTACCGGGGGCGGTGGGGGCGTGGGCTGGAACAAGATGGGTGGGATAAGCAGCCCACTCTTGGGAAGGCTCTCCAGACCCCAAGGCCCTCATCCTTACTTACAGCCAGACTTCCCAAGGCTCCCCCACCACCTCCAACTCCTGCAGACAAAGGTGGCCAATCCTGGACACATTCTCCCCAGGTCCCCTCCCATGGGGGCCTGGCCTGGCCTGGCCTGGCACCCGGCAAGTGGAAGCAGGATGGTGGAGGCAGCTCACAGAAAAACCCACAAGCCTGGGGGATGGAGGCAGCACCCACAGCTGGAGGGCGATTTCTCCCACATCCCCACCACCCACAGCAGACCTACCTGGAATAAGGCTCCAGGCAGGGTCCCCAGGCTGAGCCCTGACATTCCCAGGGGTGCCTGCGGCCCTCTGAACTCCACCAGGCCACAGCGCCTCACTCACCACTGCCATGTCATTCTTGAGTTTCTCCAGGGCGATCTCACACTTCTGTAGAGTCTTCAGGGGGCACCTGCGGGGGGAGGGCACGTGCTGACCCTCTGTGCTGGAGGATGGGGGAGCTGGCAGTTCTCACGTGCTAACTGCAACCACACCCATCCTCCCCAGACAGAGCCAGCTCAGGGACCTTGGCCACTGGGACCCTCCACAGGAACCTCAGCCATCTGACCAGCCACTCCCAGACCCAGAGTCTAAGGTGTGGTGATCCCACCCCCAGGAGCTGCTCAGTCCTGGTCAGCAGAACAAGGCACAGGCGTGATGGGCCACGGAGTGGGAACCAGGGCCTGGAGCCCCAGTGAGGAGGGGTCGAGCCGAGAAGGCCTGGCAGGCCATCAGGCTCTAACGGGCCCATCCTGCAGTGCCTAGCATTCTGCCCAGAAAAGCAAAGCGGGATGACCTCTCAGGAGCAGAAAACCGCCTGAGCCCAGGGAAGTAGCCTGAAGGCCAGTCCACGTGTGCGGTCTCGTGGCACTGCCCAAGCTCGGCGCTACGGAAGGGGCACGGTGCCATGCCGAGAACGTGGCTCTCCACTGCCCCCCAGGTGCTTCTGAAGACACTGTCTTATTTCACATTCACAGCTAACGCATGAGGGCCCCCGCTGCCCCTTGTGCAGATCGGGGACTGAGACACCGTGGCTTGTCCAAGGCTACTGGCCAGTCAGGGGCAGGGCTGAAAGTCAGACTGAGGTCTGTCTCATGCGGCCAGATTAGTGAGGGTCACCGCAACCCAGAGCTGGCCAACGGCCCTATGAGACACAGCTGTGACGGCCACAGGGTAGAAGGGTGAGGACCCCAGGCCCTTTCTCTAAACTGCACTGCCCTAGGCTGGGCCGGCCGAGCAGCCAGGGGCCCGCCCTGAGCCATGGGCACAGCGCTGCCCTTCCCCTGGGGGCCTGAGGACAAAGCTCACCGCTTGGAGGGGTCTGTCAGGATGTCCAAAAGGCTCTTCATCTTACTCAGGTCCTTTTTTCTGTCTGGAACAGAAGCAGGGACACTAAGGCACAGCCTGGGGATCTGCAGGCCCTGCCCCAATCCCCGGCAGGCCCCACCTTCACCTTCATTCTTGTCGATCTTGTTGATCATACGGCGCAGCGGCTCGATGTACTTGGACAGTTGCTTCAGCTTGTCCAGGTACTGCTGCTCCTCGGCCTGGCTGGAGCCCGCCGGGCTCATGACGGAGCTGGGGTTCACTGCAGGGCACGGCCCTGTGAGCGCAGCCCGCACACAGAGGCCCGGCTCTCTGCAAACCCTCCAGGAGGGGCACTTGGGCTCCCTGGGGTGTGCGTTTGCTCACCCCCTTACAAGGGGGGCCTCATGAAGATCTTCATGAGGGGTGGCCCTCGGCACCTCAACTCCCAGGGCGGTCTGTGGGTGACCTGACTGGACCCCAGGCTACACACCCCACACTGAGCCCCACTTACCAGGGGTGTTTAAAGGTCCCGGGGAGGGTACACTGAAGTTCTGCGGGGTGCGCGCCGTCACTGGACTCTGGG